CCCCCCCCGCCCGCCCCCCTCCCTCCGGGGCCTGGGGAGAGTGTCCGGATGTGGGGCTCTCGTTTTTTGAGCCGGCGCCCGAACGCCCATGTCCGGACTGGAAGGGCCCCGAGGAAAAGAAATTTGCAGTTTTTTGCCTTTTCCCTAGTCGCCTAACATCATCAACATGGACTTCATCCCCCGCAAGTGGTGCGCACTCTTTCCCTTTCCTTCCTCTCCTCCTCCCCCCCCCCTTCTCCGCCCTTCTCCTGCGTTTGCTCTCGTCGTGCTTGCAAATGCACATGGCCCCCATCTTCCCCTCTCCCCTCCCCGCCTGCGCTCCTCCACCGCGGTCGTCTTCTCGGCAGCTCTTTCTCCCCTTCCTTTGCCCGATCGGCAGATGGTTTCCCGTCCATCCGTCCGACTGCTCCCATGCATCCCACCCTACCTGTGTGCCGCCATTGCAACACTTGATCCTCGGCTTTCTCCCTCCCTCCTCTCCCACGCTGCCTTCCTGCCTCCATTCTCCATGTTCGGCCTCCTCCTCTCCCTCTCTTTGCGCCGGAGCGCACTGCGAGGCGGGACAGGGAACCCGTGTCACCGCAGAATCCGGCGGCAGCGAGGGCACCACCCGGACCGCTGACAGGCGCAGGAGGGAGAGAGAAGCTCGTGCATGGTGATGCACCAGTGCTCGCATCCCCCTTGGATCTGTCCTGCGAGTCTCACGCTCCTCCTCTCCCCCTTCCCTCTCTCCTCCTCCCTCCTTCCTCTGCGCCTGCATGTCACTATTCTCTCCTGCCACACCGCCCTGACCTGTCTCTCTCTCTCTCTCTCTCTCTCTCGCCTTCGTCGTCATCAGCTCCGTCACCGGTCGCCTCCTCACCATCAAGGACCACGCTTCCGTCCAGATCAACGTTGGTGAGGTCGATGAGAACGGCCGCCTGACTGGCGACTTCAAGACCTACGCCGTCTCCGGCTACGTCCGCGCCAACGCCGAGTCCGACGACTCCATCACCCGCCTCGCCAAGGAGGACGGCCTGCTCCAGGAGTGCGTGTCTCTCCTCTTCCCTTTTTTTTCGCCGCTGGCCTTCCTTCTTCTTCCTCCTACCGCTGTTCCTTGCATCGTGCACCTCGCCGCCGTTCCCCCGCGTTCCGCCCTCTTGGCATGGGTCTCTCCTTTCTTCGCGCTAACCACACTTGCCCTCGCCCCTCCTTCTCTTTCTCTCTCTCTCCCCCCCTCACTCCCCTCACTCCCTTGGGCCTTTTCCCCCCGCAGGTCCTTCACCGCCTAAGTGCACATTTCCATGTGCTCTTGCCGGGCCCTTGCGTGACCGCGAGGGCCGACCAGTCCACCCACGGCGCACGCGAGCCCGGTGTGGGTATACACATCGCCTCCTTCCTTGTATGCTCCATCCTTCTGCGCCATGACGTGTGCTGGAGCCATCGGCCCTCCCGCGTCCGGGGGCGGGGCCAACGCGCGGAGAAAGGGCCTCCCCCCTCCTCTCGGCCACGCGTCCCCCCTCTCCCCTCGGTCGCGATCATGTCTCCTCTCCATCTACACTCAGCCTCCTTGCCATCTCTCTCCTCTGCGTCTCCCCTTCTTCCCTCTCCTTGTGTTATATCGAAGGGGAAGGCCGGTCGGCGCACGCGCGTTTCCATGTGTGTGTGTGTCCGACAGGGGGGTGGGGCGGCGGCCGGGGTTGTGTGAGGGAGGAGAGGGGCCATGGGGTTGCGCATGGATCGAGTGCGCGCATGTGTGCGCCTCCTTTGTTGTGCAACCATGAGGCGTGGGCTGCACACATATGCGCGCCCGTCCGCGGCTCATCCCGGCGTTCCCTCTGTGTCACATCCCTTCGCTTATTGCCCTGTGTGTTCGGTCCCTGTCTCCCCCGCGTCTCTCCTGTCCCCTGTCTCCTCCTCTCCCCCCCTGGCGGGGGGGAGACGTGGGACAAGGGTGGCAGCGCGTGGCCGGGTGAGTCTCAAGACTGGCATACCAGGGAACAGGCGCTTCCCTACACACATACCTCCCAATAAAAGCGACATATGACGGCATAGGTTATCACACATACACACACACACACACACACACGCACACATTGGTGCACCTCCGTTCTACTCATCCCTTTCGGGCAGCGTCTCCCTCTCTCCTCTCTCTCTCTCTCTCCCCCCCCCTATGCAGAGCGATGCGCCGCCTCTATGCCTCTGTTACATCCCCTCTCTCTCCCTCCCCCCCCTCCCCTGCCTCTCGCCATCATGACCACCTTTGGGCCTATCAGCGCCAGTGCCCCGGCCCACGTCCCTCCGCCCTCGCACCCGAGTCCAGCCGCAAGGCTCACTTTCTGGAGAAATGAGTGGACAACCAGCCGAACGCCGCTGCAGGGGCCCCCCTGTCCAGCTGGGCCTGATCCGCTACAATCCTCCTCCAGGAGGCGTGGGATCCGGGCGCTGACACGACACAGCGAAAGGGGCGCAGGGGAGGCACGGAGTCGCGGTGCTCAAGGTCCCTCCTCCTCCATTGCTGGAGGTCGTCCGGGGAATGATGCCCTCGCCCCCCGCTTCGGACGCCGGTGCGGGCCCCTTCGGCTTGAAGAACAGATGCGGGGAATGAGTGCTCCTCCCTGCCCTATCTCGCCCGCCCATGCTGGGGATAGACACAGCAAGGCCTCGCGCCTTTTGGGGCCCATCGGCCAGGGAAAGGCCGCGTCAGTCACTCCTGGTGCGGGGGCCTCTCCCCGCCGGTCGCCAGGCCACCCGCGGTCCGAAGTCCCGCGCGGAGTGGTCGCCTCGGGACTCTGGCACATGATCAACGCACATGACCTGGCACACCGTCACCGATCCGTGAACCGCTTGTCTAGGCATTTGTTTCGGTCTTTTCTCATGTTCCTCCCCTATTACATGCCCCATCCCCGCCTCGACCTGGAGGCCGGTGGCGCATGCCGAACGGGGGGTGGAGGGTGGGAGATGGGCAGCGCTGGCGCGAGGTATGCCTCTTTGGCGGGCCGGCTTTCCGGCCACCTCTGATTTGCTGGCGTGCCGAAGTCCGAGGCGGCCCATGGTGCCGCCACAAAGTGCCGCCTCTCCTCCCCCCGCCTGCCCTCCCCCGCCTCCCTTTCCACCTCTTTCCACACATCTCCCCGTCCTTTCCCCCCCCCCCCCCTTCTATATCCACGCGCGCACTCCCCAGCCAGGTGAGAGACAGATGGAGCTGGACATCCCTCTGGCGGATAGCGCCCCCCTGATGGCGGCTGACCAGGTCAGTGCGCTCGGCCAGCAGGCCATTGCCCCTGAGCCTGTGCCTCTGAGCCTCAGCTCCACCTTTACCATGCCGTTGGCCCAGGCCCTGGCCGACGGTCCGCTGGAGTCGCTCATTTGCACTGGCACCTCCTACCAAACTGTACGCCGTCTCCTGTGCGGCCAGGCTTCTTCTCCCCTTTCATGCATTCACCTGACCTGCTGCCTTTCCCTCCCCTCTTGGTGTTGCGGCCTTTCAGCACCAGCAGGTGAAGGACAACAACCGAGTCTACTGCGTGGACCATGCCTACGACGCCATCAACGAGCTTAAGGTGTGCATCCGCCCTCTCTCTTTCTCTCCCCCTCTCAATCCTCCTCTCTCCACCCTGCCGTGCCGCATTTCGCCTCGCCGCTCTGACGGATATGATGACCCACCCCCCCCCCCCCCTGCCCAGTCCTCCTTCGATACGGTCCCTGACGCGGTTTTTACGACCGCTCGTGCGGTGACCAATCCCTTCGAGTCCCTCGGTAGCGGCCCGTACCGGACCCGGACGCCGATCAAGCTCCTGCTGATGGACGCCGAATTCGATCTGGCTCCCCTGCTGCCGAGCGTGCATGACACCTTCTACTTCGCGGAGATTGCCCCGGTGGCTGGTCTTTTCGCGGAGTACATTTTTTCCAAGCACAACATTTCCGCTCAGGGCGTTTGCATGAATCTGTCTGCGGTACGTGCTGCACGGGCCCCTCTCCTTTCCCGGCCTCAGTCTGTCACTCCGTTGAACGACGCACCCACTGATTTTCCCGCCCCCGCATGTGCGTCTGTGTGTGCCCCTCATCTGCTGTGTGGTCCGTCCTTTGCAGCAACGCGCCGGTCGCCTGCCCCCGAGGCTCAGTCCCGAGTTGCGCGAAAACCTGCACACCTTCACCAACAAGATTGCATCCGGTGCGTCTCTGTCGCCCTATCGCCCCCGGCCCTGCCTGCCATGGTAGTGGCAACCTCGGCTAACATATCTCCCCCCTCTCGCCTCCGGCCCATGTGCACAGCCAGTCTCATGAGCACCGAGGTCATCCGTGACTTTGTGAACTTCACCAAACGCTCCTTCGATGGGGAACTCTGCCATTTCGTCATCGCCGATGGTGTATGTCCTTCTTCCCCTGTCTCTATCTCTTTCTTTTTGTGTCCCCCCCCCCCCCCGCCTTCCGATTATGCCGGTTGCTGACGCACGATGCTCCATCCTCCCCATGTAGACCGTGAATACCAATCAGGCACCCAATCAGCAGGAGCAACTTGTGCGCCATCTGGTCTTCTGCGAGATGCTCACCGGCCTCAGCATTCTGCGGAAAGGTGCGCCATCCCTTCGGGCCGTGTCATACACACACACACACACACACACACACACACACACACACACACACACACACACACACACTGGACACACACATTCACACCCATTACCATACTCCTGTGCCCATGATGCTTCGTACACTGGCCGGCCCCTCTCCCAATCACCCCGCCCCCCGGCGCGCTCGCGTCTCCCGGGGCCCAGGCGGTAGCATGGCTCTCAAGGTTTTCGACACCGTCACCCCCTTTAGTGTGGGGATGATCTACATCCTGACGCGTCTCTTCAATTCCGTCCATTTGGTCAAGCCGTCCTGCTCGCGGCCGGCTGGCTCTGAGCGGTACCTGGTCTGCCGGGGGTTCCTCCAGAGCGAGGAACTGGTGGCTCTGGAAACTGACGACCAGCGCGCCGGAGTCCTGTCCTCGGTCCTGGACAAGCTTTTCACGATCAGCGAAGAGCTGAGCAAACTCCGGAGTACGTGGCATGTCGGATGCTCTGGCTGTCCCGTTGGCCGGTGCCCAGCCCTGCCCCCCCCCCCCCCCCCCCCCCTCGCCCCAGACCATGGGATTGACTTTGTCTCCTCCGCCACGCCCGCTCCCCCCTGCCCACTCGGGCGTGTCCTTGGCTCTGCTGCCGACGGGGGTGGAAAGTCCACAACCTTGGCCTCGCCGAGCGCCCGGAGAACCCCATCACCGACCCGGTGCTCTTCGATCAAATCGTGGATCTGGTGTCGCCGGAGCTGCTGGCCCTGCCGGCCGCCCTGGCCCCCGGGAAGGAGCTCCACCCGCTGGTGTCGGAGATTGGGGCGTCGAACAATTTGCACCTGGACCACCAGTTCCGCTACCTGCGCCTGATCCGGGACCTGGTGGACACCTGCCTGGATGCCGAGCAGGGAGTCTACTCGGTGGAGGGGCTGACCGTGGATCTGGTGCAGCCCGAGCACCAGGAGATGTGCCGCACTCTGCTGCGACAGGTTGGCCTGGGAGGGACATCCATCCTGCCGGCCGAGCGTCTGATCGGCTCCGGCATCCACCAGCTCCATGGCGGGGAGGACCGGTCGCGGCTGCTGCCGAAGCGCCGCCCGGCTGCCGGTGCCCCGGTTCCCCTGGCCAGCGGCGAGCAGGAGCCCAAGATCTTCCGCGACCGTGGCTTCTCCGACTTCGTGCAGGACTCGAACAATCCCCTGGGCGCGCGCCTAAATGTGCCGACCCTGCGCACGGTCCCCCTCGGGACGCTGGAGCATGCCGACACGGCGTCCTTGAGTCCGGCCCTGCGCCAGCGCCTTGGCATGGTGGTCGAGGCCACCGGGCCAGCTGGGGCCGGGTTGGACAATGGCGATGTCTTTGACCAGGCGGCTGGCCGGCTGTCTTCCTTCCGTGATCGGGGTTTCTCGCGCGTCGGCGAGGATGACGATGAGGAGGAGGACAATGAGCCCCGGGCCGCGGACCGCTGGGGAAGCGGCGCGTCTCGCCGCGGTGGGCGCTGGGGCGCCACCGGTGGCCACCCTCGTGCCGGCGCCGATCCCTTCGAGTCGAGTGCGCGCCTGCGGCCGGAGGGTCGCGGGCGCGATCGCGAGCGTGAGCGCGATCGTGATCGCCACCGCGACGATGATGACGACGCAGGGGCCGCATGGCACCGGGAGGAGGGTGGCGGTCGGCACCGGCTGGCGCACCGTCTGTCCACGGTGGCCGAGACTCGGCCGCCGCGCCGGCACCGCGATGACGACTACGATGACGGTGGCGAGTATGGCCGCCGGCGCCCGCACCACCGGGATTCCTCGCATTCGTCGCGCGGCTTCGGAAGCCGCGGCGGCGGCGGCGGCGGCGGCGGTACTGGTGGTGGCCGCCGCAGCGGCGACTCCCGTCGGCATACGGACTCGCGCGAGATGGATGACGAGTTTGAACGGTATATGGGCCGCGGCTAGGTTGGCGCTTGCCGGGCGATCGCTCCCCCCGCCGCCGCCAGCTGCAGGGAGCTGATGGGGGCAGCGTGGTGCACAATCAAGATCGCTGGCCCTCGCCATGTCTCGCAGCAAGTGCACCCGCTGTTGTCCCCTCCCGCCTGTGAGTGCAGCGCGACGCCCAGGGGGGGCGGAGCAGGGGGGTGTCCCGCCTCGTGAGGGGCCCGACTACCGGCGCCCAGTTGGCAACTGCATGCTACGTACTTCACCCGTCGACCAGCACCCAGAACCTCCCTTGGAATATATTTATGCGTGTAAAATGTTTATCACAATAGGGGCAGCAGGACTGGGCTGAATTGCGAGGTGGGTGGCAAAAATCAAGAAACATCTTGGATCAATTGCAGGGAAATCCCCCTCCGCAACAGCACCCGGGAGTGTAAATGGCCGAAAAAATATTCGACCGTTTTATCAATCCGCAATCAGGAGACGGGGCTGTTTTTCTGTGGCCATTCTGAAGAGTGTCCCGAAGGAAAATGCCCCGCGTGTGCGGTGTGCCTTGCCGGCTAGCCGGACGCTGTTCCTTGCAGGGGGCGTGGGGATGTCTCGTCCGCTTCGCCGTCTGGTGTGTCGCTCGTCCGCCCGATGGGGCGGTTCTGTTGGAGCGAGGTACCTGGCGCTCGCATGCTGACGGAGCACCCTCCTGAGGCAGACCCAGGTTTTCAATGTAGGGTTGGCCTCGCACCGGGCCCTGCGTCTCTGGAGACGCCGACGGGGAGGCTTGTCGGTGTTCAGGCCGAGGTGACAACGCTAGGCACCTCGCGGCAGTGAGCCGCCCGAATTGCACCCGGCCGCAGAGAAGGGGGCAGTAACGGGGCGGCGACCTTGTTGAGGCTGCCTGCCCTGGTGAGGGCTCGCTCCGGTGCGACGCATGTGTGTGAGCGGGTACACTGACCGGGACTCGTTCCTTGCTGCTCCCCCCCTCCGCACATGGGGCGACTTGACAGAGCGGCGCCCCTTTCGCTCCCCCAGGGCAAGGGTCAGGCCAGGCTCGTGGGGGAGAAGATGGCGCGCCCGGTCAGCAGCGGGCGGGTCAGGTTATTGGTCGCAGGAGGGGGGGGCGAGGTTACCATCGCTCGCTCGCTCGCTCGCTCGACAGAGAGGAGTGGATCCTGGAGTAAGTTCCCCGCGGGCCGTCCGTGCCAGGGCGGGAGGAGGAACGGTCTTTGGGGCCGGTTTTTGGTCCGGGGGGGGGAAGGAGGATGGAGTGCGAAAGGCGCTGGTGCTCTGGGCAGGGGGGCGCGGAGAAGGTGTGTCCGTGGGCCCCTCGTCGGGCCACCGTGTCTCCTCGGGGCGGGAGAGCTCAAAGACCGTGACGGCGAGAGGCCCAGCACTGGCCGGTCCAAAGCTCAAGGGAGTGTTGTGCCTGCCGACCCTCGGCTCTCTCTCTTTCTCTCTCTCTCTCTCTCTCTCTCTCTC